GAGGTCGACTAAGTTTCTGCTGCAAGGGTTCTCATGTCGTTTATTGGGATTATTTAGGTGTTTTGGACACTTTTTTTTTATTAATGTTTTTATTTGGGCCTTGAAATTATAGATCAAGCCCTTTTTCAAATTTCAATTTATATAGGCACCCGGGCCTAAACTATATTTTTTAGCCAGTTTTAAAGAAGTTTTCATTTGCCTAACACGCTCTTTGTTTTCCTAATCTTTGAGGTATTTTCTAGTAACAAGATTGCTGTTTTTGAAAACGGAAAACGGTTTTTGGATCCTCGAATCCAGAAAGTTTTCTAAACCGTCTGTCACGGCGTGAGAGTGTTATCTAGAAAGTTAGGAACAAGATATGGAAATAGACTAGGAGAGGTGAGTCAACGGCAGCATGTTAAGGACAGCAATCCACGTGGGGTTGGGGTGTGTAAGTGTGTCGTGCCTGGAGTGGGGCCCTTTGCCAGCACTTCGATTTCTTATTTCACGTAGCAAAATGATTTCCGGCCCCATTAGTTAGTTGTATTGCTTCTTCATAATTTTGTTAAGAGTTTGAATTTTATATAGACACAAACTTTTGATTGACTTTAAAGATTAAAGAGTCGAGTCACTTAATTAAATGAGATATTTTGGTTATTTGATCGAAAAATTTAGAAAATCAAGCTCTAGCAAGCTAGCTAAATGATTGGTTATTTTAACTTTGTAAACAACAACCGGTTAGATTTGGCTAGGAAGATGGAGAAAGTTATTTTTTGCTAAACATAAAAAAAATGGTATAAAAATGCACTGTTTGTGGCTTCAAGAGAAAAAAGGGCTTGGGTTGGTAAGTTTAGAAAAAATAATATTAAAATGTTTCAACTTAACCTAAAATAACGAGTATTTTTGGGAATGATGGCTAGCCAAATTAACATTTTGGTCATTTAGCTAGTTACAATAACAAAAAAACTAACTAATATTGTTGAAGATGTTATTATTGATTAGTTTCAAGGTGAAGCCTATTTTTGTGTGTGCATATTGTCCTTATGTTGAGCCCAACCAAGTAACGTCCTCCCACATAACTTAATATGCCTCACGCATTGGGATTAAATAACTACGTCGACGTGTGGAGAACCCTACATCTGAGAATTGAGTATCAATTAATTTTAAAGTGAAACCTTAGCTTTCTTCAAATTGTTTAAATTCGTGACTCCTTTGTTTCAGGTAAACTCCTTATCCTAATCAGCATACAAGACTTATTACTTGTACCACTCAGTGGGCTACATTTAACCTCGAACAAAAGTATTTTGTGGATCCTACACGAACTTCCTATCTCTTTCTTCCATCTCTCTCTCTAAATACAACAATTATTAATATATAACTAGAATGCTACATTGAACAAATAACAAGAACCTAAACCCTTTCTGTGCTACTGCAAAAACCCAACCTAGATTAAAATTTCAATCACCGCCCTTTACTCTTGCTCAGGGTAGTCGGCAACCCGCTACTCCCTCGCTCTTTTCCTCTTCCTTCCCACCTTTCCCACCCTTCTCCTCTGCCCTTACCCTATTTTCCTCCCCCTCTCATCTCCTTTTTCCCTTCCCCTTCACAACATCCCACCCTCTCTTCCTTCCCCCTTTGCAATTTTCTTCCTTTTTCTTTTATTTCGATTCTCCTCTAAGTTTTATCTCAATTTTCTTTGTGTTTGGTCTCAATTACCCCTAATCTTGTCTCATATTTTGGCTTAATGTCACTTATCCAGCGTTTTTCACCTCCTTTTATTGCTTTATGTTATTTACTTTTTCTTCCTTCTTCCCCATTAGTAATTCCATCCCCACCCGATCCTGCGCTCAGATCTGCAACTTCAAACAGAAATTGGACATCAGATCCATTTCTCTTCCATACTTCCTCCCCCAACCGGCATGCCGGATCCTCATCGAGACCAAAGCGTTTTGCAGCCTCCGCCACAGTAAAGGTATTTTACATAGCCCTTAGCTTCACTTTCTAACCATAAGGTACTTTGTTTATATATATATATATATTTGCAGGAGCTCGTGAAGGGGACTTAAATCTGGTGTCTACTTTCTCAGTTTGGAGTTTAACTTTCTCCGAGGCTTGGTTTCAGATTAGGGTTTCTCTATTGTTTGTTTTTTCTGCCTTCGGTGCCTATGTTTGTGTGTGCTTCATGATGTATCTTGGGTTGCTGCTCTTCTTTTGCTTGGGCTTTTTACTTTATCTGTTGTTGTTTAGCTAGCTCTTTTTGAGCCGTATGCTAGTTTTTAACGAAAGTAATCTTGTTTGACAAAAAAAAAAAAAAAATTTGGTGCATAATTTTGCACTGCTAGAGATTAGAAAAACTATAGCCGAGATTATACGTTGTGAATGATATATTGGTAAACCACAACATGGCCTTCCGCGCTCTTTAGCCTTCGCCGCCGAAGATGTCCTTACTATGGCCTCAAATAATCAATCTTCCCACATGAAGATGGAGAGAGACTTTCTCCATCCCTTTGCAAGGATAAAGTAGGTGATTATTCCTTACTGAACCAGATGACATGGAATATTTACGTGTTAAGCAAAGTGAGGATACTCTGTCTGAACTTGGAAAAGTGGAAATATAAATTGAGTAACGTCAAAGAGACTAAATTTGTAGACAAACTTTGCAAACTAAGACAATCTTCAAAGGAAATGTCAAATCATAAGTGGAATGCTATGTAATCAAATTTGAAGGTAGATGTAAGCTCTAACTGATATGTCAATCCATATAGGATTGAGATATTAATTTTCATATGTCAAATTTGATATATGAGAAAATGTAATGTCAAATAATTTAATTATTTTATTGTGTGGATCTCAATAATGCACTAATTATAGATCTTGAAAACTTATTTTAATTGATTTCTTTTTAAAATGGGTTCTAGAAATATCATTTTTTTTAGAGCAAATGAAATATCATTTATAACAAAAAAAATATATTGGTTGGAAAAATAGAAAATTTGACATTATCATGTCAGCCATCAAATTTACATTTGTCATTTATCTTTTGACACCTTATTTACAGATGCTCTAAATGACATATCATCAATAAAAAATGAGTATATTTATCAACGTTTAAATAATAATCTAATCATCAACTTCTAAGTCATTTAATTTATAAATTTTTATCTACAAATTTAATTTATCTAACATTATTCATATAAATATCAGCTCATCAAAATTGGCATGAACGACATTTGAAGCAACAAGCAACAACCGCCAAGGTGGCGCTTCAAAAAGGCCAGACGCCAACATTGACCTCTTCTCCTTCTCTGCCTCCACCCTTTCCTATTCCTTCCCTCCGCCGAGGCGCCGACTCCCCTTTGACTGACTGGCCCTTCAGCAATTTTTGTAATAATCAAATGCAACCCTCTCAAACAATATGAATTTACTGCTTAATTTGGAACTCAATAACGGAAAAAAAAAGGTTACGAATTTATGGTGAAAATACAAGTGACATGACGATATTGCACGTAATGTAATGTAACACTTTGAGGTTGATAGACAGTTTATTAAAGTACGCATGATTATTAATACGATTTGCATCTTATACGATCCAATAAACTCTTAAAAATGGTGTGCTTGATTTTATTTTTTCTTTCATTGTACTAGAATAAAAAAGATAAGGGTCCGAATAAAGTCATAGGATTGAAATTCAAACTTAAAATCTCTTCTAATATTGAAAAAAACGTAGTACTAAATTGTGAGCTAATTGACGAGTTTGGTTACTTAATACTATCATCGAATTGCAAGATTCGATGCCTACTTATTTGACAGTAACTATTTTGTTCCTGGTTAATCACCTTTGACCCAATTTCTCTAACAACACCACCACCGTGAACCGAAAAGAACACAAATCCCTTGTGCTTTTGGCGAATAAAGTGGAATATTCCCACAACCGACATCTTTTTGGAAATATCCAATGAATCATAAACCCTAATGCCACGTCGCCTTCCTCAAAATATCTCCTCTCTTATGACATGCTCAATTACCAGCTTCTTAGATATTTTGTCCCAACCAGATTACGACTTCCACAATTTTTATTCTAATCATAAAGCAAAAGCCATTGCCACACACTCGCAAAGACACTAGAGATGGAGTAGCTTTTAGTCTTTCCAAATTCCACTACAGTCCCACTGGCGTGAAGGAGTTAAAACCTTAATACGTCCTTCCGTTTCGAGTTTCGACTTTGTTAAGAACGGTTTGTAATTCAGGTCGTTAAATTTTACAAAAAATAATTTGTAACTTAAGTTATTAAGAGTGTATATCGAGTATTTCATTCTTTCCCTCTAACAATAAGTCCGACTCTTGTAACCATGACACATGTCCTGCTTCAAAGTTTTTTTTTTTGTTTTTTGTTTTTATGCAAGTGTTGATTAAACAAACGAGGAAAAAGTTAAGGGCCAAAGACGTAAGAATCCCTTGTGTAGTTGTTGCCAACTGCTACTCAGCTAGTGGATTTTTATCAATTAAATATGACAAAATTGCATAATCTATTCTCCCAAGTATGACTGTTCAAACCACTCTTGGCATAACATTACTCTAAGATCCAACCACGGCAGTATGAACGAATTGATCTCTATTTTTTGAGATTCAACCCTGCCCCGCTTCGGTTCATAAAAATAAATGAAATATCTGAAAAAATAATCATAAATTAAATTTCAATTATTGAACTAATCATATATAATATCAACATCGTCCTAATAATTGAATATTTAGACAACTAGAATTAAAAAAAAAAAAAAATGATCGTTTCATCCAATTTCTCGATATAAATTGAATTATGTGATCTAATCACTGGCATCATGCCCTTTCAATAAAGAACCAGCTCATACAACCACACTGAGTGTTACAAGCCGCTGCCACAAGCTACGAAGGTGAGAAGGAAGAAAACAAATCATATTTAATGTATCCACAAGGCAAATTTATCTACAGTTTAAATCAAAATCAAGAATTTTGTGACACATGTATACAAATTAAGAAAATAATGAGAGTCAATCCATAACCAGATGCATAGATTAGTAGCAAAAACTGAAAAGACAAATGTGAGAAGCACATTTTTGTTTTCCTTCATGCAATACACTTTACGGTACAAAAGTTAGTAGAACAATGCACCAACCATGACAATAAACCCTTACAGATCTCTATGAATGCCTAATCTCAAGTCAACATAAGATCGTTGCCCCCGAGGTGAGGGCGGAGGCAAACACGAACCTCGTGTTCTTCTGGCCCGGCGCGGAGTTTTGGAACCATAATCTCAAGCACAGAACCTGGCCCGTCGTAGTAAGCTTCTATGTTAGCGTCTTCAGGAATGCGGGTGGCAAGCGGGATCTCTCTGACAAACTCTCCTGGGGGACAATGCTCAGAGGCTGGATCCGTAAGCATGAAAGTCCGATCATGTCTCTTGATGTACGGCAAGCGGGACGTGCTTATACAAGATACCTTAATGATGCCTTGAGTAAGAGTATTCCTCCAAGAAACTTTCACCCTCTGAAGATCCACAAAGGGTAAGCTGATGATGATTAAATAACCTGCATCATCCTCGTAGATTGTTTTGGAAGCTGTAACAGGCCCGTAGACATTCTTCATTACGCCACTAAATTGATTTGGCCATTGCACCTCATTTGGGTGGGTTTCCGTATCCGGGATTCGATCAGACAGAGGATTAACAGCCAGGTAGCAATCATCATCATTCCCGTGGGGGAATAACTCCTTCCTCCTCTTGCTGACAGGAGATAGGTCCATTCCATCAGAATTGTTGCTGTTAGATGACTGGGTAGACAAATTGAGCCCAGATCCATTCAGAAGTTTCTTTGAGTGGGAATTGGGCGCGCTCTTTATTGGAGCTGGTGGCCTCTCAAGCTCAAAATCTGTATTCGGAAGGTTTCTCCACGAACTAAAATCGCCCGCTTCTGTAGGAATTGTGAAGTTCACATCCCTCCCAGTCAGCTCCATCCACCTTTTACGGTCTTCTTCATCAAGAGCAATCAAATTAGGTGTCCGAACAAGCTCAATCCCATGCACACACTGGGGGTTTGAAAGACCCCGATAATGCTTCCGCTGCATCCTGTGAGATCGAACAAAACCCTTGTCGACACTAAATGGAAATGGACGCTCCCCTTGGCGGGAATGCCCATTCATGTAGCTCCTTAGCTGCATCTTCCCCAACGCATTCTCAGGCCTCTCCTTGAAAACCCACATGTACATGTTCTCCATGTCATGCTGCACCATGAAAACATCGAGCTTGAGATCAGATTTATCAAACCCAGAAACCCCGTTGCTGTCCCGGACAATTTTGGCCTTTGACTTCTCATTCAATGCGGGCTTGAAGTAAAAACTGAAGAAGAACCAAGCGCCCCATATGCTGTCTACTCGCTTGGCGCATTTCCGTCCAGCCTTGGGGATCGTCAGCAAAGTCTCGGTCTCATACACCTGGGGACCAAGCCCAACATCTAGAATATCACAAGCGTCTGAATTCCACGAAGGCGGAGGTGGGCTGCGCTCGGCTGACAGGGGCAAGTTGATATCAGGGGGGCGGGAAAGTATGATCTGTCGATTCATCTCCAAATCCAATTCGTCGTGAGAGGAAGCGCTGGAATCCATGGACAATAACGTGGACGGGTGGTGATTCTCCATTGACAGGGCCGTGAGCAGAGAATCTCCCATTTCAGCTGAACAACTCCTGGGTGGGGATTGTTGCTGGTGGATTGAATATTTCCATTTTTCCAAAAACAATTCAAAGAAAGAACTTCATCACATCAATCAATCCCCACTATATCTCCCCTCCATCAAAACCCTAGATTTATCAAACCAGATAAGAAATTCCTCACACACCCACATCAAATGTTCAACAATATAAAACAAGATTCAATATCCCCCAATAAATCATTTATAAAAATAAATAAAATTTCTGAAGAAAAAATCAATCAGAAGAAATTACAGTAGATAATTTATTTCAATCACTAACTATGGAGGGAGAGATATTTCTAAAAACGCTATAGAAAAACTGTACCCAACTCTAGCCCAAGAATCTCCTGAATTCCACCAGACCCAGGTGGGAGACACTGAATCATAACCATCAAATCCATGAATTTTTAAAATAAAAAAAAATCTAAAAAAGCAAAAACCCACCTAAAAAGCACAAATTGTATCCCCAAAAAGCTACAAATCCAGAAAACCCAGAAGCAGAAAATCGAAGGAGGGATCTTGAAAGAGATTACCTTTTGGGATAAGCATCGGGGAAGCGGAAGCAAGTGGAACCTCCAGAGGCGACCATGATGCTCATCTCCAGCATATCATCAACTACCATGTTTGCTCTTTCCTTATTCCAGTTTTAATTATCTTTAATTTCTCTCTAATTTTTAATTGAAAATTTAATTAAAATTTTGGGTTAATTTGGCGTCCGAAAATACAGAGACATGCGTGGAGGGTGAAAGAAAGAGGGCTAAAATTGGATTTGGGATTTAGGGTTTGGGGGTGGGAAATGGGATTTGAGAGTTAGAAAGCGAAATCAGAAACGTGCCGGAGCGTCTACTTATACGAGGTGGTGGGTTAACGCCCCCACTAGCTGTCACCCGTTTGGGCTGCCGTTACCGCCGTGAAGGTGTTTGTTTGTACCCTCCGGGATTTTTTTTTCTTTTTTTTTTTTTTGGGGTCCGAATTTTGTACCTTTGGTTTGGACTGTGAATTCACCGAATTAAATCAGAATTTATAATTTTTGTTATTATCTACCAAAGAATCCAACTATTGACCTAATTTTATTATGTTCTATTTTTTGTTAGTTAACTCAAATATTTTGGGGTGGTGCTATGTACATTATATAAATTTTTATTATAATTAATTTTTTATTAAACGATAAATTTTGTTAAATTAGATATTAGATTAGTTTTCGACGAAGTTTAAATCTAGGTCGTCATGTAATAACTCAACACTTTTTTTATTGTGGTAAAAAGCCACTTGATTTAGTGTAAAATTGAGTGGTGACACATTCATTAGAGTACAAATTTAGCTGACCCAGTATTATTCTTTTATTATTATTTATTCAGTATTTTGAGTTTAGTCAAGTTAAGTTTTTTTTTTTTTTTTTTTTGACAAAATGAACCTCGGGTGTATGAATGAATGCTATTACCCAACTAAGTTACAAGCTACTTACATTTAGTAAAGTTAGTTACAGTAGCGTATTTTTGCACCGGTGTTTGAATCTTCCTTTGTGGGTTAAATTATCCTATTGCTTATAAAAGGTTTGTATTTAATTTACAAGTTAAACCGCAAAAAGAAGAATCTACATTTAGGTGCAGAAAACGAGCACATTGGTCTAACAAATTTTGGCAACATCCATGTTTATTGGTCAATCCAAACAACTTGATGGAATAGACCAATTTCATATGCTTGTATAATTGCACCAGTTTAGTAAGATAACTTTTACCAAATAAAAAAATAAATTAAGCATGCTGTCATAATAAGAAACACTAAATTTCACAAAAGCAAGTGTTGACTTGACTTGTATTATTCCCCCTTCTCATCATTCAATTCTTATCTCTATCTTTCTCTTTTGACACTTGCTTTTAACTAATTTACAATACTACCCATTTTATTTTGAAAGTTATTTTCATTTAAATTAAGGATTACAATTGTTAGCAAATGAAAACAGCCTGTTTGGGATTAATTAAATTTTTTTTTAAAAGCAGCTTTTTAAAAAGTTGAGGTTCTAATTGTGTTAAGTAAATGAAAAAAAAAAAAAAAAATTTCTTTCCCAAAATTATGGGTCCAAAACAGCAAAAATAAGATACAGCTCAACACATGCTTCTCAAAAAAACGCTTTTTTCTTTAGAGGCAGGTAAACAGTATCAATTAATGAAACTTTCATGCTGCCAATCTTACCCCCTTTTTTTTTTTTTTTACTAAAAATACTTTTAGCACTATAATTTATCAAACATTTACTATTTTTTTTTTGTTCACAAATATTTATTATTACATGACAGCAAATGCAGTTTTGAAAAAGAAAAACATAGTACCTCCTGACTAGCCAACTGTTCATATCGGATAGGAACATGTCATATACATTCCCATAAAGCCACAACCATGAAAAATAATACATATCTATTTATAATCTCCAATTTACCATTGGGTATTCCCATAACCAAACCATTAAGTAACGAAGTCCCATTAATTGAAGATTTATCCATTTCATCAATAAATACTTTTTTATTTTCTTATAATTAATTAAACAAATCTTTGATTAGATGATGTCAAGCAACATTAAAAAGAATTCATGAATTAAAAAAATTATGAATGGAGAACCTAACCTTAAAACATCCACATCCAAAACCAAAAATTATGATTGGAGAAAATAAAAAGTGTATAACCATACAATACTTGGTTGTTGACGTTTTATGATTAAATCTCTACCCTTCATCTTAATTTATTTTGGTTCATAATTGTCGTCATGAAAGTAGCCAAAGGTTTTGGCTCCAATTGTCACCTTTGATATGAGTTTTAAGCTGCAAGGCAAGAAAGCTCTAGGATTGTGCCAGTTTCTGGTTTAGTCAGTAAGGGACTATGAGTTTAGTTGGTATGATGATATGGTTCTCTTTGGAATGCATAAGGGCAACACTGTCATGTTCTATTAGCTTGACTTTGTTTAATAATTTTTTAAAGGAAATTTTAACGAAAAACTTCCGGTACTGTTTATTTTAACGAAAAAACATATTTTTACACTAAAAAGTCAATCATAATACTATTCACTTTACTTTTTATTTTGTCGGGGTGTGCTATTCACACACCCCTTGATAATTTTTGTCCGCTTATCTTTTTCAATTCATCCGATCCGACGGTCGAAACTTAAAAATGTGTGTGAAAAGTAAAATGGGGTGTCTGGATATCACACCCCCATTTTGTCCTTATCGTTAAAACTCAAAGTTTTTAAGTCCTTTTTATTAGTTTTTTTTTTAAATGATCTTTGTGTCACACGAAATTTAACAACTCTATTGATCCCTTTAATCTTGTAATTCCCATTAAACTCGACTTTCAACGAATTGCTTGTGGTATATATGCTCATTGTTTTGCAATCAGTCATGCTTTATTCTATTTTTTCTTTAAATCTAGGTTTTTTTTTTTTTGTGGTCAAATGATAGATTTTGTTAGATTAGATATTAGATTAGTCACCGAAGGAATTCAAACTTACACCATCATGTAAAGGCCCAACCCCTTCCCACCATTGTAGTAAAAGGACATTTTCTTATTTAAAGCTAGTTTGAAAGAACTCTCTTAATTTTAATATATATATATATATATATATATATATATATATATATTATAATGCTCTTTATTCAAAATAAATTAAAATTTGTTGATGATGTTGTAGTTGTACCAAACACTCTGTACGTTTGTCAAGAGATGGAAATGATGAGTAATTAATTTACTGGGTAGCTGAGTAAACTGTGGCTATGGCTGCTCTCTCTTGTTATATGAGAGCATTTTTGCTCACCACTATTTAGTATAATGTATGCTCACTATTCTATTTATCACCGTTAGATAAGTTTGAATTTCGAGATTCGTGTAGTGGATAAGTACAAATCTCAAAATTCAAACTCATCTAACGGTGATAAATAGAATAGTGAGCATACACCACACTAAATGGTAATGAGCAAAAATGTACTCCTTGTTATATTATTAAAGCTCTCGACTCATTTAGTCTTTGAGGGACCTCCCCGCACTCCCTAAACGCCCAAAAATCCATCATCCCATTCCCACCCAATCAATAAAGTGGTATTGCTTCTTTATATAATGTTCAATGTTGTGGTTTGTGCGCACATTCAATAATTTTCAGCTTTTGTTGTGCTTAAACCAACTCTAATGGTAGGCTAAAAGTCAAGTTACCTCCCAAAATTTCCCCCCAAACCCACTCCAATCCAAGGGGAAATTTTGAGCTAAATGCTAAATGCTAAACCAATGCCAAATTCCCCCCAAAATTTAGCCCAGAAATTGGAGTGGACTCCATCCAATATTTATCGGAATTTAATTTTTTTTAGATTAAAATGTTCATAAAATTAATTTACGATAGTCTACATTTTTTTTTTTTAAGAATTAATTTAACAAAAAAAATAGCATAAGTTCATTATTTAATAATCCCGGGCTAAAATTTTAGGCTAGAACGGTTGGAGCAAAAAAGTTGTTTCTGGGCTAAAAGCTAAATTTTTCGGACCAAAAAATTTGGCTTTTAGGTCAACCATTGGAGATGATCTTAATGGAACAAAAGATATAGCTTCTCTCTCTAATATCTCTAGTGCAGTTTAAAATGGATAAGGTTTCTTCAATTATTCACATTTAAAAAAAATGGACAGTTATTAACATTTTAAAATGTTCATTATGTGAAGCAATTCAATGTCTCTTGTATAAATCGTTTTAGTAGGCAGCACAACTGACACAACACGTGTTACATTATCGTTGTGACATCTCAATAATAAAACGACATATGTAAATTTCCCTTTGCATAATGTCGAATGACTTGTAAGTGAGAAGTTTTAGATTCGATTTGTGCCAAAGGCAGAGTTGAACCATATTATTATGACCACCCCTATTGTAAAACTTAGCACACTCCCTAAAGCCTTAATGTAAATATTATTACTTGTTAATGTCGTATCAGTGATATAAAAGTAAAACGTTATAATAATTATATATACATGTCATGTAAGTCGATTTTACTGATAGAATCACATTTGATAAAACAAATATTCGACAATTGCATTGTCCCACATGAACAATAATGACTTTGGTCCATTAAGTCCAAAGTGTAAAAAGCTAATGGCGACAAGCAAACACGGTTTCCTCATATGCTTACCACATAAACTATATATTTTCATCGTATATAGTATTAGTACAGGATAGTCCTCTACATTTTTATTTATTTACTCGCGTCCAGTTATCATACACCTCATCTGCACCTTTTCTTCTTTTTTTTTTTTTTTATATATATTTTTCTTTTTCTTTTTCTCAGCTTCTCTTTTGGAGTCAAAATCAAAGACGCAAGCCAATACATTGGTTGAGCAAGTGCAATAATGTAAAGCTCATAATAAATTAATAATTACATCCCACTTTGTCAGAGAAGGATTTACGTACTACAATTTGTACAAGTAGGGCCCGGATTTTTGTACCGGAATACGAATCCGACTTGTAAAATCCCAAATTGAATATCTAAGCCAATTGAACTGTTTCGGTCCGGAGATGACGACCTCCTCGCCATATTTGCAATTATCCTGAACCGAGCCGAAAATTAATATATATATATATATATAAAAATTTTTGTTAAACAATATAGATAATTTTAAATAATAATAGTCATTGGATTGATTGGGATTAAATCTCAACTATTACTTTGAAGTCTTATCTTAAAGTTTGAAGATGAGTTTTCTCTCTCGAGTATCTCATCTTTTCAATGTGGAATCGAACCAGACTGAAACGATACCTTATTAGCCACCACCACTATTGGATCGCATTTCTCCTCTCGTTCTAAACAACGGCCAACC